AGCTCTCTATATACACTCAGTTCAGTTCAGCTCAGTTGCTCAGTCGTGTCCGACTCTTTGTGACCCCATGAATCGCAGCACGCCAGCCCTCCCTGTCCATCACAGACTCCCAGAGTTTACTCAAACTCATGCCCATCGAGTCGGTGATGCCATCCAGCCATCTCATCCTCTGTTGTCCCCTTCTCCTCCTGTCCCCAATCCCTCCCAGCATCAGGGTCTTTTCCAATGAATCAACTTTTAGCATGAGGTGGCCAAAGTATTGGAGTTTCGGCTTCAGCATCAGTCCTTCCAATGAACACCCATATATACGCTACCATGTATAAAACAGTGGGAAGCAGCTATATAGCACAGGGAGCCGGGCTCACTGCTCTGTGATGACCTAGAGGGTGGGATGGGAGGGGCCGGAGGGAGGCTCAAGAGGGAGGAGATATATGTTTACATATAGCTAATTTACGATGTTGTACACCAGAAACTAACACATGTAAAGCAATTATCCTTCAGTTAAGGATAAATTTCTTAAATTTACAAACCTAAAAAAAAAAAACAACAAAGAAAAGATAGCTCATTCTCTGTCTTTCTAGGGCAGCATTTGCCAAAAGAGTCCTCAGTACCCAAAGAGCATTGTGGACCACAGGAGGCACCCAACCTGTGTGTTTCAGAGAAAGGGGAGGCAATTTTTCAGCTCAGTTTAGTCAATTTTTATCAATTCGTCTGGGCCTGTGCCCAGTTAAGGGACAGGGCTCTGAGACAAGGGGACTACTTCAGTTTTGCCCCATCTATTTATGGCCTGTCTCCCGCAGTGGATTGAGAATTTCCTGAGGGCGGGATTCCATCGACTTGGCTCATGGCTTATCCCCAGCACCTGGCACCATGCCTGGCACTTAGAAGGCATTCAATAAATGTGCACTGAGGAGTGAAATAAAGACTAACGCCCTGAGAAATGCATCAGCTCTCACCTTGAAAGCACTATGGTCTCTTGTTAGAATTTCCTCTTTTTCAGTTTAATTCTACGGTAACACTGGCTCAGAAACTCAGAGTGAAAAATCCAGAGATGGCCAGGAAAAGAACAGATGTGACAGAGATATCGCTGCTGTTGTTTAGCCCCTAAGTCATGTCTGGCTCTTAGAAACACTATGGACTGTAGCTGCCAGGCTCCTCTGTCCATGGAACTTCACAGGCAAGAATACTTGAGAGGCTTGCCATTTCCTTCTTCAGCTAGAGATATAAAAGGGTAGAATAAGCAATGCAATATTGACACTTCTGATGTTTTACTCTTTATTTATTTCCATTTCCCAAGCACATACTGTATGCCAGGCACTGTGCTCAGGTGCTGGAGACATAAGCCCTTAATCTGGCTGTGATAATAGTGACAAATAGAGGATCCCTGGGATTAATCTTCTCCACTGGCAATAAATTATTAGAGTCCAGCCCTAAGTTCCAGGCATCGTTTGAGGTGACTTCCATGTGTTGCTTCTTTTATAGGCCATGTTGTTATGTGCATTTTACAGATGAGTAAGCTGAGACTCAGAAAGGCCAATTAAGTTGTTCATATTCACAGCGGAGGTGGCAGGGGTGGAGAACAGGCTTAGGTTACTGTAGTCTGATGTCCACGCTCATAACCGGCATAATGGCTTCCAAGGAGCTTCCTGAGAGTGACCCTGAGATCACTGGCCTCTGAAGCACCAGGAATGCTGGATAAAAATGCAGATTCCCACGCCCGGGGCTGAAGGATCAGAATCCCAGGAGGGGAGCCTGGGGATCCCAATTTTTAACCACTAACTCAGCTGATTCAGATGTGCACTAAAGCGTGTAAAGCACATCACTCAAATGTGCCACGCTGACTTCTTCTGAGTTTACAAAACCTCCAGCACCCGCCTCGCGCATCCTTGTGTGCGTGTGTGCCAAGTTGCTTCGGTCGTGTTCGACTCTAATCCATGGACTGCAGTCCGGTAGGCTTCTCTGTCCGTGGGATTCTCTAGGCAAGAATACTGAAGTGGATTGCCAAGCCCTCCTCCAGGGGACCTTCCTTGACCCGGGAATCAAACCGGCGTCTCCTGTGGCTCTGGCTTTGCAGGCAGAGTTGAGCCACCGGGAAAGGCCCGTGCACCCTTGCTTCCTGCCAACCGATGAACAGATGGAGTAGAAAGGTGGGGAGGAAGGAAAAAAGGAAGGAAGGTGTTGAGCATGGGTTGAAAAAGAATTTCCAGACACAGGGCATTTCAGAAAGGCGGGAGTTTATTGAGAACAAAGAGCAGAGATAAAGGGGGCACTGCAAGCGCAGTAGGCCAACAACTCCTGACAGGCCAGGAAGAGTTGACCTTTTGTGGGTTAATAGCCAATTTGTAGATCCTCAAGACAAAGAAAATTCCTGCTTGACGGTTGGCATTAGGTGACTGGTTGGGGTGCTATAGAGTGTTTACTGGAGTGGGCATCTTTGCTTAGTTGGGAGTCAGGAAGCTTGTTAGTGACTATTAGGGGGTTTGGGGCAAGGTTACAAAGGGGCCCAGTCAGCTTCGGAGGCGTCCTTGATTATGGACTCTGCTTCTGTGGCCTCAGTGCAAGGCCTCGAACCTGTGGCTTCAGGGCAGGACTCAACAGAAGGGAGGGAAGGAGGGATGCAGGAAGGAAGAACTTGCTCCAAGTTGGTCTCCATTTCAGTTCAGGGCTTCCCAGGTGGAAGCACCTGCTATGGATGGTGATATCTGCCTGGTTAAAGCAGCTGAAGCAGTCAGCTGCTGAGAAGAGCAGCATGGCGAAATTCAGCTGTACCCAGGGCTCAAAATCTGAATATTTGTCCCTCCCCAAATCAGGACAGTACTGCTCTGGGTCCCTCCTAGTGGGCAGGGTCCATATCAGTCTGCAGACTGAGAAGATTAAGCCAACAGGAACCAAGGCAGGAAGGAGAGGCAGAGACAGGGGTTCTGGCTCCAGAGAGGCTACAGGACATAGAATAATGAAGAAAGCTGGCTGTACACTGCAGGAGGAGGAGCAAGGACGGGGCCACTGGTCCATGAGGGGGATTGAGAACCACTTGTTCTCACCAGCAAACCATGGGACCACTCTGAGTCAAATCCTTGTGTGTAAAAGAAAAATAATAGGGACTACCCTGGTGGTACAGTGGAGAAGAATCTGCCTGCCAATGCAGGGGACGTGGCTTTGATCCCTGGTGGAGGAAGATCCCACATGCCACGGAGCATCTAGGCCCATGCACCACAGCTGCCAAGCTCGCATGCCCCAGAGCCTGTGCTCCGCAACAAGAGAGGCCACCACCACAGGAAGCCCACTCACCATGACAAAGAGCAGCCCCGGCTTGCTGCAGCTAGAGAAAGCCAGCACACAGCATGAAGACCCAGTGCAACCAGAAAAATAAAAGGAAAAACCATAATAATCGTTTTTATTATCTATGGTTTATTGAACACTTTTTGTGCATCAGACACTGTCCTGAGGCAATCAATCTTTATAACAAGTATCTGGGAAGTCATGTGGTCCCCCTTTGACAGAAAGAAATGAGTCTCAGGTTAGGAAACCTGCCCAGTATCTGCCAGCAGGTAACCAGTGAAGCCAGGACTTGATCTGGGGATCTGTCTCTCCTGTTAATAACTGCTAACAGCTTCTCCAATATTCCTCGCATTTCTAGTTCTTGTGACTAAGTGCCTCCAACATGAGCTATTTGTGGTTTCAAAGAAAAGAGGTATTGGTCTCTTCCCGGCCCCACATCCCAAGCCTGGGTGGTAAAAATGCCCATCGGTGCATCCATGTTCGGCCGGGAATCAGCCAAGATAGGACACAGAGGACTGTCATCGGAGAAAGCTGTCAAAGCATGAAGGACCTCCGAAGTGTCTAGATCAGGTCTCAGCTCAGCTAAGGAGCTGGGAGCAACACAGAGCCCCCTGCTGTCCCAAAGGTCTCAACAGAGGAGACCACGTGTACGAAGGGGCCGGAGGAGCTTGCTGGCACCACAAAGCCTCACAGAAAACCCAGACCCTGGCCAGGTCCCCATCTCTAACCCCATCTCCCACCGGTGGCCCCTCATTCATTCCTACTTCTAACTATTCCTCAAACAGGCCAAGTTCATTCCCACGCAGGGCCTTTGCTCTTGCTGTGACCTCTGCCCAAAAGACTGCTTATCCTGCCTAGAAGCAGCTTTCCCAGGCGTCACAAGCCTTCCTGCTCCTTGCCATCCAGCTCTCCAATCTTGGTCCCCTCCTGCGAGAGGCCTTTCCTGACCACCCCATCTAAATGAGCAACACCCCCGCCACAATCCATCATCCCTCTCCATTATACCTTCCTGCTTGACTTCCTCTGTGGTGCTTTACACATCTGAAATGATCTTGTTCATTATTTGCTTATGTGTTTAGAGAAGCACCTGGTAAGCAGTAGGCTCTCAATGAACATGTGCTGAATGAATGGACGAATGCGTAAACGAATGAATGGAAAATCTTACTAAGTGTTTTCTATAATAAGGATCCGATCACCTACAGTCAGGGCACCCTCCTCCTTTCAGTTACCAGGGGCAGAGACCACAAGAAATAACCCCGTGGTTGGCAACAACTTAACAACCAGCCAGCAGTGATATCCACACACATTGCTGGGCATGGTTCCAAAGCTAAAAGGCACTAATTGCTTTTATCTAAGGAGGTAGAAACACAGTCCCTCCGTGTCCTCTGGTCCTGATGCTCTGCATGTCGCTGTCTGTTGCCGAGTTAATCGCTCCTGTCTCACACAGCCAGCTTGAGCTTCATTCTGCCTATGTCTGGGATGGTGACAGGTTCCTACACAGAGGAGAGAGGTACTGCGCCCCTGTACATGTGTGTCCACGTGTGTGTGTGTGTGTGTGTGTGTGCGTGCAGAAAAGCAGCGACACTCCGGAAGGGTTAACTCACAATCAGGCTGCCTGTGCTCAGGGCCCTCCGGCTGGCCCAGGAATGGGGTGGGCCTGGAAGGTGGAGCGGGCTTGGCTCGCATCAGCTGCTCTTTCCAGGAGTGCAAATGCCTGCCCAGCTGGCCTGAGCGTGCTGAACTCCAGTCGCCTTTAAGAATGGCCGCAGGAGCCCACACCTGGCAATCACTCCCCCTACCCTCCTGCCTCTCCACAGCAGGTTGCATTTGGGAGACTCTCCAGTCAGTCATTAGAGGAATGAGCCTGAGCCGAGAGTGAGCCATTCACCAGCTTGCCAACACTTGGTGGAAAGCAGCAGTCAAGCATGGATGTGGTTGACAGCCTTCTCATGAATGAAAGCAACCTGACTCCCCCCTGTGAACTGGGGATCGAAAATGAGACGCTTTTCTGCTTGGATCAGCCCCATCCTTCCAAAGGTAGGTGTCAGAGGCTGTTATCTGAATTCAGAAAACCTTAAGTTTGTGGAAAAAATCAGCAAAGGCAAGGCTGACTGTGAAAATAGAACACAGTCCTCGTGAGACGAGGTTGGATAAAGTCATCAGTTCAGAAGTTTGGGGAAGAGATCTAAAAGCAGAACTGAGTCCAATGCTCTTATTGTTCCCCATGGGAGAGTTGGGATTAATGCATAGGACTTGGGGGGTACAAAAGCAGTGGGAAGAGGAGCTGAAGTGGAGCCAGAAGGAGTACAAGTGTAAAAGCTGGGACTTACCAGCATCACAGAAAAGGCGCCGTCACAATCTAGCTGTCGCCTTTCCTTGGGGGAAATCGGTGTGAAGAAGTGATTAAACCGAAATAATGCTTAGCAGCCAGGGAAGAAAGCAAATCACTGAAGGAGCTTTGTTCTTAAGAAAAAGTGGTTCCCCGAGTGAGCAGTCCTTTAACAGACCAGCCTTTCAGAAGCAACTAAATCACTCTGTGCTCTCCTCATTTTGTTTCTGCAAAATATCGTAAGTATGGGGAGAGCTGGGGTCGGCGAGGCACACCCCTGAAAATACAAACCGGCAGGAAATAAGCATTCATTTGGTGTGCCGGGGTTTTAACATTCTGCCCTCATCACCTCCATCTCTCCGGCTCGTCCGGGTTCCTCCTTGCAGAGTGGCAGCCGGCCGTGCAGATTCTCTTATACTCCTTGATATTCCTGCTCAGCGTGCTGGGAAACACGCTGGTCATTACGGTGCTGATTAGGAACAAGAGGATGAGAACAGTGACCAACATTTTCCTCCTCTCCCTGGCTGTCAGCGACCTCATGCTCTGTCTCTTCTGCATGCCATTCAACCTCATCCCCAACCTGCTCAAGGATTTCATCTTCGGGAGCGCTGTTTGCAAGACCACCACCTACTTCATGGGTGAGTTGCTGCTGGTGCCTATTTCTGGAGTTTCACCCTAAATCAGTGAAGCTCAGTCCCAGACCTTCCTTAACCCCTGAGAGCCTCCACAGAGAAGCCCTGATGGGTGTACAGAACAGAACATCTGACTGCATGGGGCTGCGAACAAGGACAGAGGAGCTGGCTCTGTGGGAGGGTCCATCCTCGAAACGCCCCAGCAGTCACTCCCCAGTCAGGGGATCAGTTCCTCAAAGTGGAGTAACTTGGTCAGAAACTACAGAAGACACTGGTTTTGCTTGCTTCTGTTAGAAAGACAGACAGATTCAAGCTGATCTGTGCCTTCCTGGAAGTCACTGATTGTACTCTGAGCTCTACCCACCCAAGGCCTGGCTTTTAGGATGGCCAGGCTTCCGGAAGAGGGCTTTTTCTGCTGCCCTTCCGGCTCTTAGAGGGAACAGGGTTATTCAAAAACCAGTTTCACCAGAGGTCTAGATTCCCTTCTCAGGATTCACTTTCCAGCCTCTTTTCACAGGGGCTGGGACCATCTTAGGCAGAAAGAGAGAGAGAACCTCTGCCACTAGACAACAAGTTGAATCTGCTCCCACTGCCTGGGTGGATAAGCTCACCCTGATTGACTGAGATATGCAGCTCGCTGCCTTTGCCAATCAGAATGATGGTGATGATGAAAAATCATAAGAGCTAATGTCTTTGAGTACATTTTTTTTGAGTACCAGATGTTCTACTAAATGCTTTAAGTTTTTACTTCCATGATCATATTTTATCTCACAACCACTCTATGAAGTATACACAGTTATTCTTCCCTGTCTCACTGAGAGGGAACAGAGGCATAGAGAGGTTAATAACGTGCCCAGGGACACACAGGTGGTAGGCCACAGAGGTGACTTGAACCCCAATTGGCGGCCACTACAATGGTGAGTGAATACACAGCCTCGTTTTGCCAACTGCTGTGGCTCATCTGAGGCTGAAACAAGACATTTCTCTTGGTCCCCTCTGCCTGCCAAAATGCCTCATCCCTTGCCCATTCTGAGAGCTGGTTGGGGGGGGAGGAGAAGAGGCGGGAAATGAAGAAGGAGTTGGTTGTTCTGACCTAAGCCCTGCAAAATATGCAGAGCTGAACCGCCTAGGGCAGCTATCAGTGACCAGAAAGCTTTAAAAGCCTTTATTTCTTCCAACTGAGGAAGTAGGATCCAGCGCTGACAAAACGATGATGAATGACTGATCTACATGCCATGGACAAATAACCGAGAAAGTGTCAATCTGGGTCCAAGTACTCTAAAAAGAAAAATGGACTCACAAATGAAAAGGATCATTGTTAAACAATGACGCAATAATAATAACCAACATCTCACAGTGCCTCAGGCTTTTAAGGCCTGTCTGTATATATCCTACCGCAATATTTAATCATTTTAACCAGGGTTTATGAAAGGAGATTAAAAATGAGTCCTTGTGTAGTTGCACAACATAAATGTGCTAAATGCCACAGAGTTGTTCACTTTAAAATGATTAATTTTATGTTATATGAATTTCACCTCAATAAAAATAAATGTTTGAAAATAGCTGGGGTCTGAGCTAGGAGCCTTAACACTCTTTCTGAAAATACCCAGTACAGACTGTTCTAGAAAATGAAAAGCAATATAATTCTAAAAGTGTTTGCAATACCATAATGGTTTTGTTGGATTTCTGATTCCAGTCATTTCAATTCCTCCCTTGATTTCATGTTCCTAACAGTTAACACGCATTAAATTCCTAATACATAGCCAAAAGGGCTCCCCAGGTGGCTCAACAGGTAAAGAAACTGCCTGCAATGCAGGAGACACAGAAGACATAGGCTTGATCCCTGGGTTGGGAACATCCCCTGGAGAAGGGCATGGCAATTCACTGCAGTGTTCTTGCCTGGAGAATCCCATGGTCAGAGGAGTCTGCCAGGCTACAGTCCATAAAGTCCAAAAGAGTCAAACACGACTGAAGTGACTGAGCACCCATGCACACAGCAAAAAAAAAAAAGTGCTTGCCTGATGATGGGTTTATAATTACCCATTATAAGGCTGAGCACTGAAGAACTGATACTTTTGAACTGTGGTGTTGGAGAAGATTCTTGAGAGTCCTTTGGACTGCAAGGAGAGCAAACCAGTCAATCCTAAAGGAAATCAGTCCTGAAAATTCATCGGAAAGACTGACGCTGAAGCTGATGCTCCAAAACTTTGGTCACCTGATGTGAAGAGCAGACTCAGGCTCTGATGCTGGGAAAGACTGAAGGCAGGAGGAGAAGGGGCTCAATGGAGGATGAGATGGTTGGATGGCATCACCGACTCGGTGGACATGAGTTTGTGCAAACTCCAAGAGATGGTGAAGGACAGGGAAGCCTGGTGTGCTGCAGAGTCGGACACGACTAAGAGAGTGAACAACAGCAATAGATTTCACTCTGAGGAGTTTGGGGCTGTATTCTCTCATCCAAATGTCAACTCCTTAGGGTAAATTCCTGTAAAACAGCAAATCCTATCTCTGAACCTGAGTTCTTAGCTATGGTTTTAGGGTTCTAGATTCCTTTAAGTCTCTGAGGAACACTACGGATAGTCTCCCTAGAAAAAGGATATTTTTATATATAGTTTCACAAAAGGCCCCAGGCTAAGAACTTCTCCCAAATTGGGATTGATTTGAAGGTTTAAGAAATCATGGTAAGAGATAAGAGAAGAATCAGCTGAATTTATGGATGAAGAGTTAAAGGGAATCTTACAGGGGTAAGACATTATAATCAGTATATATGCACACAAAATACAAAAATTAAGTAAAATTAAGTTTTTTGACGATGCTGTAAGTATATCCTCTTGTTGTTGTTGTTCAGTTGCTCAGTTATGTCTGACTTTTTGTGACCCCATGGACTGTACCACACCAGGCTTCTCTGTCCTTCACCGACTCCTAGAGTTTGCTAAAATGCATTACCATTGATTCAGTGATGCCATCCAACCGTCTCATCCTCTGTCATCCCCTTCTCCTGCCCTCGATTTTTCCCAGCATCAGGGTCTTTTCCACTGAGTCAGATCTTTGCATCAGGTGGCCAAAATACTGGAGCATCAGCTTCAGCATCAGTCCTTCCAATGAATATTCAGGGTTGATTTCCTTTTAGATGACATGTTTTGATGTCTTTCTCACTGATGATGAATGTTTGATGAATGATCCTTCTACAAAACATAGAAAAGCAAAAAGAGTTAGAAAGAAGACCCCATTCCTCCTACCCCAAGAAAAACATTAGTTACAATATGGGGATTATCCCCTTCATCCTTTTTCATTAGGTATTTTTTCAACACTCCATTTTGAAATTTAGACTGTTTCACTCAAAAACAGTCTGTGTACTAGAAATTTTCAGGAAGAGTCTTAATGCTCCCATCTCAGATGCCACTGAATTTTTGGAGCCACTGTCCTTGAGAATATTGGATTAAAAGGTCAACTTTATGCAGATCATGCTCAAAACTAAAGTTGTTCTACAGGTCACTCAGAAACCTCTTCTGTAGGGTAGGAACATAGTTCATCCACTTGGTTATTAATTAATGAGCACCTTCAGCCTAAGAAGGAGCTAGGTCGTAATCAAAGTTCAATAAACTTATCTAAAATACATTGGCAATACAATGTACTTGCAAACACATTGCTTGATCTGCCTCAAATCCTTCTGGGAACAAAGCTGGGAATAAATCATCTTTTAAAAATATACATACAAAATATTTCTTTACCTTATGAATATTTTCCTTTATTATCTATCAAACCTCTGCAGATCAGGTAAGCTTAAGCTCATGTGCAAATAAACTTCAGATTTCAGAGCTGACATCACCAGCTTCTTTGTTCCTTTCCCAGGCACCTCTGTGAGTGTCTCCACCTTTAATCTGGTCGCCATATCACTGGAGAGATATGGTGCAATTTGCAAACCCTTACAGTCCCGAGTTTGGCAAACGAAGTCCCATGCTTTGAAGGTGATTGCTGCTACCTGGTGCCTCTCCTTCACCATCATGACTCCATACCCAATTTATAGCAACTTGGTGCCTTTTACCAAAAATAACAACCAGACCGCAAATATGTGCCGCTTTCTACTGCCAAGTGATGTCATGCAGCAGTCCTGGTAAGGCTGCCTGGGTTTATTTGTTTACTCTAACTTGATAGAATTGTTCAGTTTTAATAAAAACTGGAATGTATTTTCCAGTGTCTGCAGGATCAGTTTCCTGGAGACTTTTTTGAGAAGACTTGTCTTAACCTCTTTCTAGAATAATAGTGAGAGCGAACACTTTGAATGTTGTATTTGAAATGCCATACCTGTATTAAAATCAACGAATCCTCTCAAAACCTCATAGGCTGGGTGCTATCACTGTTCCCATTTTACAGATGAAGAAACTGAGACATGGAGAGGTTAAGTTGTTCAAGCTCCCAAACCTAGAAGAGATGACAGTGTCTGGGCTTAACCACTATGCAGTGTGCTTCTGGAAAGTCTAGTGGGGATTTTGGCTGAGACAGTGGAAGAGCTCTGGTTTTCCAAAAACTGGAGATAGAACCGAGGAGTCCAAAACCCCAAATCCCATGTGATTTTTCTTAGAGTTGCAGCGGCGGTACTTACACAGAACACTTTACTAGGAATACAAATGCAAAGTTGTGCTACCTGTTTCTTTGCTCACTAGCGGGTGATATTGGACAAGTTTATAACTTCCTTGACATTCAAGTTCCTTACACAAAGATTTAAGAATAAAGATACCTTTTTATATACATCACTAGGTGGATGTGAGATTCAAATGAGAGAATGTTTATGAAAACGTCATTAAATATATTCAAAAAGGCTACGCAAATGCAGGGCATTATGTTTACTAATTCCCAGCATGTTTTAGAAGCAGAGGGCTAGACATTCAAAAATGGCTCAAAACCAAGATAATCTCTGCGTTCTTTGCCTTCCTTTTTTTTATTTCAACCAAGATACACACACACTCAGAGAATTATGTTGCAGATGAGGGACATTTCCAAGACTTGAAAAGAAATCTTATCAAAACATGTCCAATTGAAATGAGAAATGGCTCAGCCACTGTGAGTCTCTGACAATTTTATGGCCTAATTGTGTAACCTTACACATGCCAGACTGCAAAAGTGATTTAGGGGCCAGACTCAAGAAGAAGGAGGCTGCAGTTCTTCAGGAATCAAACATGTTTAGAGAAAGCATAACTCTGGTCCCCCAGGCACTAGAATGAGTTTGCCACTGTGCCTAATGGGTTGAAACAGCCAGAATAATTTATTTTGCAAAACAAAGGTTTTCCAGCATTGCTACCTATGCACTGGATGATTCTGGTGCTATAAAGTCAACAAATGGTATTAATATATTGTGATGCTTAAGAGCATAACATCTAGAATCACATGCTTGAGTTCAGATCCCATCTTTGCCACTAGCTGCGTGACTTTGGACAAATTATTTATTCTGCCTGTTTCCTTATCTGTAAAATGGGTATTAAGTTAATAGTATCTACTTCAAAAATTATTATGGGAATTAAATATAGTATTATATGTACTATATTGAAATTTAATAATTTAACAAGTCATCAATGAATATAAACTCCTATAATTTTATTATTGTTATTTCAGTAACAGCTTTATTGAGGTATTCACATACTCTCATTGGCTTGTTTTTTTTTTAAAGCTCTCATTAGTTTTAAATGTAAACTTGTTTCAGGCACAGACTTACACAAAACTTTTCCAATCTAACTAGTCCTTCATAAGAGACTTTATCTGGGAGAAAAGAAGTAAACATTTTCTAATGACTGAACCTCCAGACATGGAATTTCCAAAGATATTAAATACTGGTAATTAATGTGCTTGCTCCAACTCATTAAAATGGAGATGAACCCTGTTTATTCCATCTCATCTTAGTCTGAAATGCTGGAGTTGCTGATTATTGGATTGCTTTTTATTTTATTAGGCACACATTCCTGTTACTCATCCTCTTTCTTATTCCTGGAATTGTGATGATGGTGGCATATGGATTAATCTCTTTGGAACTTTACCAAGGAATAAAATTTGATGCTAGCCAGAAGAAGTCTGCTCGAGGTAACTATCTTTTATCTGTTGGTTTATGCCAAAAGATTACACAAGCCTTGTTTTCTATAACTTACATATATCCAGAGTACATACTTTTGAAAATATTTCAAGTATTTCAAAATACGTTTCAAAAGTATTCTTAGGAGACTTTGTGTCAGAAGGCATGGTCCTGAGACCCAGTGTCTCTGTTTCCTGTAGAAAGAAGAAATTATTTCTCCCAAAAGGGTACTAAATGGAATAAAATGAGATAATATACCCATTGCCCAATTACAAGCTCAGGGCCCATAGGTTCAGGGTCTCTGTGATATTGTATTCAAATGAACCCCTGTGCATACAAAGCAAATTGTCATTCCAGGTGCCATCCTCTCTTTCCGCCTCCACTCCCACCCTTGACTCCCGATAGAGCTGCCGTGGAACCTCACATCTCCCTGCTCCTCCCTTTTTTAACGTTTGGACCTGCATGCTCTTTTTTGGGGGGCTGTGCTGGGTCTTCACTGCTGCGCAGGCTTTCCTCTAGTTGCGGAGAGCAGGGGCTACTCTCCAGCTACAGTATGTGGGCTTCTCATCGTGGCGGCTTCTCTTGTTGTGGAGAACAGGCTCTGGGGCTCTAGGTCATCAGCAGCTGTGGCACACGGGCTCAGTCGTTGCGCTCCTGGATTCTAGAGCACAGAATCAATAGCTGTAGTGCCCTGCAGCATGTGGGATCTTCCCTGATCAGGGATCATGTCTTCTGCATTGGTAGGTGGATTCTTTACCACTGAACCACCAGGGAAACCCATCCCCCATCCCTCCCTTTCATTACAGCCCACTCTTCACTGCAACCTACCCCACACCTTTGTTTACATCACTCACTACCCTCTCACTCCATCCTTCTGCTCAGCTCTTTACCACATATACACCTAGGGTCTTCCCTGGCTTTTGTTGATTTTTGCTCATTATGCAGTAAAAGCAAACTGGAGGTTCCCCAAGTAAAAAGAAAACTCCCCGCCTTGAGGAGCTGGAAGAAGAGTGTGAATATTCATTCGTTAACAAATTTTTATCCTTACAGTCTACACACATAAAACATTATTTTACTATTTTAAATTATGCACATTCTATACTACACATTTTTTAAAATTAGTTTTAAGTAGCATTTCATTTGAAGGAAAGGAGTAGTATAGAGCAATACCTACCCATGTTACAGCAGGCCCGAGGTGGCCCATCGAGTAATACAGTTCAAGCTTGGTTTAGCCCCTGGATGGAGGGGGCAGGGATTCCATGCCCTCTGTCTGGCATGACCCATCCCCAAAAATAAGTGATGTGGCTTTGCCCACCCAGAAAGGAAACCGAGCTCGGGCAGCAGCGGCAGGTATGAGGACAGCGACGGCTGCTACCTGCAGAGACCCCAGCACCCAAGGAAGATGGAGCTGCGGCAGCTGTCCTCCGGCAGCAGCCGCAGGGTCCACCGCATCAGGAGCAGCAGCCCCGCGGCCAACCTCGTGGCCAAGAAGCGTGTCATCCGCATGCTGATGGTCATCGTGGTCCTCTTCTTCCTGTGCTGGATGCCCATCTTCAGCGCCAATGCCTGGCGGGCCTTTGACACCGCCTCTGCCGAGCGCCGCCTCTCGGGGACCCCCATCTCCTTCATCCTCCTGCTGTCCTACACCTCGTCCTGCGTCAACCCCATCATCTACTGCTTCATGAACAAGAGGTTCCGCCTCGGCTTCCTGGCCACGTTCCCCTGCTGCCCCAACCCCGGCCCCCCGGGAGCGCGAGGGGACGTGGGGGACGAGGTGGAGAGCGGCAGCACGCGGGCGTCTCTGTCCAAATGCTCCTACAGCCACGCAAGCGCCTCGGCGCCGCCCCCGTGAGCGCTGTCCCGGCCCCGCGCCGGGGAGGAAGCATGGAGGCAGGGACCGAGGGAGGCAGCAGAGAGGGGGGGAAAGAAGCAAGCAGGAGGAGAAGGAGGCAGGAAGTGAAGCAAGGCACCGTTCCCAGTGGGAACCATTCCCCGTCCGCCTGGCACCCTACCTCTGGGTTCCAGGGGAACGCTCCGAGGGTGGGGCCGTGACTGGGGCCCCAGGCAGGACGTTTTCAGTAATAGTCACCATCAGAAAACCTCAGCAGGCCAATGACAGGCGTTCACCAGGGCTCCTGCTGCACATGTAATTGCTAAGCACGTGTTCAAACGGGGATCTGGACCCTACTGAGCTTTAGAAGGTTCTAGAACACCCAAGGCGGGCTCTTAACTCCTCTTACTGACACCCTTCTGTGTTCTGCTGCTTCTGCTGATGTGGAATTGTGGAGGCCGCTCTGCACCTCAGGAGTCCAGCCCTCTTTCAGGAACATTCTGTAACCACCCACCTCACCATGACCGCACACGGGAACAGGGAGAAAACCCTCTCCTGGCCATTTTCTGTAGTAAGAAAACAGCCTGACCTGTTCTTCTTGAGGTCAGTCAAGGACATTCACAGACATCAGTTGATATCGTCATCAGAACAGCATACGAAACATTGTCTAAAGGATGGAATTTGGAACTTATATTTCTGAAAAGAGTATGTAGCAAGTAACTGTCTTAGCATAAGGGATGTTGAATGCCAGGAGGCGCCAAGAAATATTTTTCTAGTCTAATAATATATATTGCTTAACTCCACCTTTTCATGGTGATGTTAAACCCCATGGCTGCTTTGCCTCAACTTTAATTCTCATACTCATCCTCCTTTCTGGAAGGACCTCCAAATATGGAGAGCTATAATGTATGTGTACCTGGCCAAGCTGGAGACTCTGGGAGTTGGGCCCAGAATTAAAACTGGCATACTTGGACTCAACTAACAGATAGTCAAAGCCGTCTATGCCTTTAGATACAATCTATGTGTTTGTTAATATTTGTAGTAATTTTATGTGTATGTGAAACATGGACAGAGCTGTATGCTCTTTACATATAAGTATACTCTTTGGTGTGTTTAAAAAAAAGAGTAGTGAATGGAGGTTGCAATTGAGAAAGTATTATCATTCTACATTCCTGTACCACAGTTGGAGTTTCATGCGAACTCTTTTTCTTTGAAAAATTGGTGTTGAAATTTTTCTTCTCCAGTATAGAAATCCCAACTTAAAATAAGACATGAGCTATACACTTAGATGCCAGGAAGTGCATTTCTAAAACTGCATGTGTCAGTCCAATCTAAGAGCCTCTTTCCTTCCCTCTCTTTCTTTCCCTTCCTCCCTCTTTCTGTCTCTGTCTGTCTGTCTGTCTCTCACCCTCTCTTTCATAGTTTTCATGCTTCCAAGCATCTGAGAGGTGAGCTTTTCTTTTTCCTGTTTGTGGGGGTCCATGACCACCCATTGATCCACACCTGACAGACACTCTTTGTGATGCACAAGGGCTAGTGATTTTTCTATTATTTAAAAAAAAAAATCTATATGGGGGGTAGTACAGAGAGTGGCAGGAAGTGATCATGAATAGGGGAAAGGATGTGGTATATTCAACAAGATGTGAGTGTTGCCTTTGTTGTGTTTTTGTCAAACAGGGTAGAGAGGATAGTGTGCTAACAGAAGAAATTATTAAGGATGTGAACATTTTTTATAGGGGCCTTTCCAAGCCAGATGTTAATGTTTCTACTTCTCAGATGGCGATCTTATTTTCATACTTCAAACCAGTCATCTCTGTCAAGAATTTCCAGGTGAAAATTCAACTGACTAAAACGTGCACTGCTAAAATAGTAATGATAAAAGATGTAAGAAAGAAAGATGTCTCCAATATTTGAGGAATCCCGCAGAACCTACAATTTTCCTGCCAGAAGAAGAAGCCTTCCTGGCTGACAGTGTTAGCATATAAATGAAGATTGATTAGCCTTCCTGCTCCCCCCCACCCTTATTGGAAACCTCTGGAAATTCCAAAGGTAACTTAACCTAAAAATAGGTTCACCAGATTTAGCAAATAAAATACAGGATGTCCAGTTAAATTCTAATTTCAAATAAACAACTAATAATTTTTTTTAGTATGAGTGTGTCTCATACCCTAAAATACATCTTGTGTTTTATCTGGCAACTCTACTTTAAATTAACTTTAAAAGCACGTAAGAACATAAACAAGATTTCCCAAAAATAGAGCAATAAAATGCCTCAGTTCACTAAATTTATTAGAAAGTCTTTCACATAATGGAAGTTATTTTTAAAAATAAGAAAAATGCCATTAACTTTCAGAATCTGTGCCTGACCTTTGGAAATGGTACTATCAACAGGCTGATTTTACTTCCAGAAAAAAATTGTTTTTAACATAAAGCTATTCTGATACTTTGTTGAGTCAATTGCCTTTATTTCACGCTAAACCGGATTCTTAAATTTGAAATAAAGTGACTTAATAGAGTTAAGAAAATAGATTCACCAAGTTTCTGGTGTTTTCTTGTGTCTTCTAGTAGCTTTCACTCATCACCAGAGTGGTAAGTTTGAACTTTGTAACTTTGATCTTTACCTAAGGCATGCATCTCAGTGGTTTCTTGTGCCCTAGTTACTGGGTAAATTCTCATAATAACTTGTGGTGGTGAATAAGCCATGCTTGTGTCTAGATGTCGGTTATACTTGTTCGTGCATGCTTAACAGGTGTCTTCTCCATTCACCTAAAATGTAATCCTGAGGTGAGCGACAATAGCTGTTGAATTGCCACTGTATTTCCTTCCAGTCTTCTGCCCAAAACTCTGTACACCATGAGTGCTCAATAAATGTTGTGACTGACTGCTGCTCTGCCTCTGATGCTTCGGGGAACTCCTTTTCTCCATAGCAGTGAGTCGTAACGGGGGGGGCATGGTCTGAGGGGACCATCGGGATTTCTGGAACTTTCTCTAACTCTGTGTGCATCCCCACCCAAGATTTGGCTGTGTGAGCCTTTGCTGCCATCATTCCCTGCTGCTCTCCCCTGGGGTATGTGTGTATAGTTGGAGATGCTACCCTTTGGAGATTCTTGCGCCTGTAAACAGTGCTGAGACACAGATTTTTTTTTAAGGGCTGAGGAAAACGACAAATACTATAATTCTATCCACATGAGGTATCTAAAATAGTTAAAAACCATAAAAATAGAACATAGAAAAGTTATTACCAAGGCCTGGGGATTTAGTGCCTAGTGAATATAGAGTTTCCGTGTTACAAGATGAAAAAGTTCTAGGATCTTTTACCCAACTATGTAAAATATACTTAACACTACTGAACCATGCACTTAAAAATGGATAGGATGGTAAATTTAAAGTTACGTGTTTTTCAGACATAAAGAACAGACTTTTGGATACAGTGGGGGAAGGAGAGGATGGGGTGATTTGTGAGAATTGCATTGAAACAAATGCATTACTGTCTGTAAAATAGACAACCAGTGGACGTTTGCTGCATGACGCAGGGAACCCACATCCAGTGCTCTGTGACAACCTAGAGGGGTAGGATGGGGAGGGAGATTTAAGGGGGGTTCAAGAGGGAGGGGGCATATGTATACCTGTGGCAAATTCATGTTGATGTATGGCAAAAAGCATCATAATATTGTAAAGTGATTATCCTCTAATTAAAAATTAAAAAAGAAGAAATTAAAAAATTAACTCTTTCACATTAGAAAAAAAATAAAGTTTTGTGTTTTTTAGCAGAGTGAGGAAGCCCTGGTCTATAGTATTCCTTGGCTTTGCTCCTTCCTCTGCTCATTCCCTTTAAGGAGAGTAGTGGTGATACAGCAAAAAGCCGTCGCTATGTTCCTAGTCCATGTTTAAGTCCTCTGCTCACTCTTTAGGGCTGCTAAGTATCATCAAAGCCCACCCAGCACTCCTGGCTGTTCCCTCGTAACTATCTGATTTCCTGCAGGGCTCCTCTGGGGGCCTCTGGGCATCTTCCTGGCCATTCACCCACCCCACACCCTACCTCTGAGCCCTGAGGCTGCTCTCAGCTCCAAGCAAGGTGCTTCCTTGATTTGGATCTCTCTGGTCCCTCCAGCTTCCTGGTCACCCGCAAGTGGAGCACAGATTCCAGGTTTCCTAAACCTGTTGCCACAGCTGAGGACCAGCCCCACAACCCTAACCCCCAACCCTGGCTCTGAGCAGCCCAGCCTGGGCGGAATTTCAGGTCCCTCTTCTTGCTCAGGAAGAGAAGTCAGACAAGTATGAATTGTCCAGCAATCACTCTTGTACATAACATGTAACAGGTGTTCAGTGAGTGTCGGGGGTGGATGACACAGCGAATAGGTGAGTACACTTGAATGGAGTCCTTCCTCAATGCCGGGCCTTTCTGGGCTGCTCTGGGGACCCCATAATCCTATCAGAAGCATTTTGCCCAGAGTGTGCAGTGGTGCTCAACAAGAGGTGAAGTGAATGGGACGACCTTGTTCTGTTCCCAGTCCTCGACACTGCACATTAAGTCCAGCAAATACTGCTTTCAACATCACTGACCATAAATGCCTCCTTTGTTAGTAAAGAAGATATATTTTGGATCCCAATTCCATAAATCAGTGTCCCAATCTTACACACACACACACACACACACACACACACACATATGCTCAGTCATGTCTGCCCTGTCACTAAATTGTTGCGTGACTCAAGGGAGGTCACATACCTTCTCTGGGTATCATTCCCTTCATATAAAGTGAGCGGTTGTCACACCATCTCGGTGGGACTCGGTGAGTCAGAATTTGCTATGAGCTTTTACTCTTCTATATCCTTACTCAATTTTGTTGGGTTCCCATTGGTTTTGCAATCAGAGAAGCTCCCTGATGCCCAAGCACATAACCACCTCTGAGGAAGGCTTGATCTCCAGGGTGCCCCTGAGAGCAGGTGGCCAGGGTGAGAAAGAAAAGGTCTCATAGAGGAATCTGTAAGCTCTCAACCCCTTCTAGGTCACAGCTGACC